GTTGCCCTAGAACATTCTGTCTCGGAGGGAACAGACGTTACCCAAGACATTATCCTGGCTTTTGCATTTTTGGACCTGTTGTCCCAGTTCAATGTATATAAAGGAGAAGCAGATGTGTGCTCCTATCACACACCATGGCCACGTGCTCATGTTCTTGTACTGTTATAGATATGCAGAGGGGAGTTTAGCAAGGAAGTCTAACCTAAACTAAAAAAAATAACCAATTGCTGGGAAGGCTGCAAGACACTAAGACTTTGCCAAAAAGATAGGGGAAAAAATAAATCTATTGTCAGTTTTTTCTCATTATTATTCGAGCACTTGCAATTACTTGCAATTTACTGCGAGAGAAGTTTAGACAAATGTAAGATACGAGAACATTCTAAGGTACTTCAATTTTTGTGTGTTACAGCTCTCCTTAACATACTAACATGTATCACCATAAAGCTTTTTGACTGACATTAAAGCCCCATTTGCGGCTTTGAAAGGAAACAGAGACAATTTTGAACAAACATTAATCTGAAGCAATAACCACTTAGTGTTATTCACTCAAATAGAAGCTTTTTATTTTCAGAATTATATTTCACATTTCTGACCCCCTGGGCCTGTGTGTTTATATTCGTTCTTCTCTTAAATCAACCACTGCAGAGTAAATCTATCAACTGCCAAGAGCAGAAAACAAACATGACCTCATCTGGGATACTGTTTCACACCAATCGGCCCGTAAAACTGCACCATAGCGATCTCTCTGTCCCAGTCATCATTCTCACTTATGGAGCACTGTCAGCTATGAGTCCGTTCGCAAAAAAAAATCTCACATTTTCGAACAACCAATGAGTAAACACAGATGTGTTGATGGGATGGTGTATAAGAAATCTACAGAGATTCAAAGCAAAGCTTATGATTAGATGGACTTAAAAGACAGGAGGAGAAAAACAAGCATATATATCATTGACACCGTGACAGAAAAGAGTTTGTGGATCACTTTGCTACATTTGTGACGTTAACAATGTTCAATTTACAGATTATAAAATGCAAAAACATATTGCGCGAATGATACAATCTCTATTCTTTGGGTCAGTGCTCCTGCAAATTAGATTTGAAGTGAAACGATAAATATGAGGTCAAATAAGCGGTCTGCCAACTTTAATTTGCTTGTATTAACATCCATATTGTGTGATCCGCATAAAAATTACAGCCCATATACATAGCCTCCCCCCTCCCCCTTTAAAAAGGTGCTGCAGCCTTTTGGTATAGGCCTGTTAAATAAATCTTAATTAAAGCATACTAGTCCACACTCGGGGCTACGCGCACCACACTAACTCTCAGACATTTGGGAATGCAAAAACCACAACTCCACGCTCGTAAACATTGTAAATTTGCTTGTAAACATCTTAAACTTGGGAAAATGGGAGAATGGGTTTCATCATTTCCTGCCTGAGTCAGCGCTCAAAGTCTTTGTATAGGTTCAGATTGATAGGCCACCCCGCTGAGGAGAAAAATGGATTAAGATGGACAGAGTTTTCCTCATTTCATGGTAGCATTCTGAAATAACGTCATGTATTTTTGTCAGTCGCAAATAGCATTTAACAACCAGTTGCTGTAAGTGATAATCTGCGACCAAATTATATCAATCAACTTTGGGTATCTTCTCTACCAAATCAATTGAAGAGAAATCAGGGCCCCTGACTTTTGAAGGACAGCAGTAGTAACAACAGACCAGCCAAGAGGAAATGGCTTTCAGTGCAAGCAAAAGCAATGCAGAAAGACTGTGAAGGAAGCAGATGCATCAACATGATGACCAAGTGTTTTTATTGTTTTTCAGCCTCCCTATCTTCTCTATGGTTGAGTGGTAACAGTCCTGAGAGGATTGTGGAAGGATGGTGCTTTCCATAAACTCCAAAGAGGTGATTCAGTCATGGTTGACAAGGCCTTTTTCCGTAAAACTTTGAACTCTGTCATTAATCATGAGATCCCACCCACTTCCTCCCCAGCCATTAAGGAACAAGAACAATATTCTTCAGAATTCCTCTGTTAATGACTTTGGTTCTGTTTAACGCTATAATTTAACCCCATGAAACCATCAAATGCAGCTGCTGTATTCAAACCTGTGAAATTTCAGGCCTATTTTAAACTCTAACAGAAATCCCTTTGTTTGCAAAGATCCCAAATAAGTCCTGCTGAATTACAGGAAATGTATATAAATTGATGCACAAGATGTAGATATTTTTCATTTGATGTAATTCTGTGGCCATAAAAACATAATGTCCCGCATTTGAATATTTATCTCATTCTAAGTGTGATGTAGCTTCAGTGAACAACCAGCGGATGCAGAATATGTATGTGACATTGCCCCACGATATGACAAAAATGCCTTTACTGACTTTGAACTTACTTTGGCAAGTGACACACGCACAGAAATGCAAAGAGCAGACTTTTTCATGGTGGCCGACAGGGGCAAACGCGCTGCAACGGCCCAGAACATGTCCAATAGGAGAAATGCGCTGCAAAAACAGAAACGATGCAAACTCTAAAACATTCAAACCACAAAAGCAAATGCAAGAGAAAAACTAGCGGTCGAATCTGATGACTGATCTGACGTGACTTTTCATGCAAATCGCTCATACATATTAAGTAGTAGGCACATCGAAATGGCCACGGTCCAGCAGCCACAATGGCTGATCGTGCGTTGATTGCTTTCCTTCGGAATCTATCCTTGTTAGGGGTGTTAGGGGTCGAGGAATTATGTGAAAAAAAGTTGAGGATACGGAACGGATCGGTTACGAAAGAATTAAAAGAACGTTGGCTACGAACCAAACCGTAATTCGCAGCTATGTTCACAGTATTTTACCTAATTGTTATTGCAAATCTTTTATTGGAACAGCCTGGCAAATTATGTGAAAAAAAAAGTTGAGGATACGGAACGAATCGGTTACCTTTAAAGAAAGTGAGAAGAACATAGGAAGAACCGTTTGTGTTACGCCTCAACCAAACCGGCATGGAAGACAAATTCAACAAGCTATGTTCAACATTTAAAAAAGTATTTTACCTCATTGTTATTGCAAGAACCAGTATTTAAAAAATGGTGTCAGTCCCACAACAAAACGGCGTGAACTAATACCGAGTGCTATCCCAACTGAGTTTGTGCATCGTGAAAGACCGCAGTCATCTGTGTATTGCAGGAAGAAGAGGGGGTATGCCGAAGAAAGGTGAGGAAATATGTTCAAGTATATATAAATAACGTCATTTAGATGAAAATAAACCGGAAAATACTGAATCATTGAGCAGTCCGTGAGAAATGTATTTGCCCGTTACCACCCTAAGGCTAATCGAAGGGTCCGTGAATTGTGTTCGTCCTCAAAACACTTTTGGAGTTTCAAAGAAAAACGGCATGGAAGACAAATCCAAATCAACTGAAGTCACTGGTGACCACTCTTTCAAGCGTAAAAAACAACATTTAAGAAAGACAAAATGCCTCCATACTGCTTCGTGTGGTGTAATCCAAAGTCCGTAGAACCCGACATTCAAATGTCACCAAAAAAGACAATCTTTTTTCACCATATTTTTAGCCTAAATGTCCAATGTAGCCACTTAGCCAGGAGCCCTGTTTATTTTCACAGAAGTTGTTGACCTCACTACGGTAGCCAACTTGGGTAAATAACACTGCAATGGCCCTAAACATGTCCAATCGGAGAAACGCGCTGCAGTTTTGAATGTTAGTATTCACCGACTGAAGAGCTTATTTGCCCTCGTTGGCCTTCGATTAGCCTTGGAGTGAGTAGATGATGAGTGGATTTTCATTTTTGGTGAATGGGCCACCAACAGTGCTAATCGAGCTCACCAAGGTACTAGCCAGTATGCATCAACTGTTAAATGGGTCACTCCGACAGTGCCTGTCAACGTCAGAAGTTAAAACAAACTACGCCACAGCAATTTGGCATGACAATGGCTGTCATAGGAAAATTGATCATGCTTCAATCAGGCTAATTCAAGAATCAGTATGTGTGCAGCAATATCAGAGGATGAAGAGGAGGAAAACTGTAATCGAGCTCTGAAAAGCGTTTTCATTTTCTGTGATTAGTGATGCATCAACTGTTAACATTCAACTCTCACAAGTGTGACCAATTTTCTTTGTAAAGTTAAGAAATAAAATGCTTCACATGGATGGAAAATTGACCAAATTTCAATGTTTTTCTGTTTCAGTTGAACAATCATGAAGTACAGGTTTGATAGTTTGCTTGCAGTGGACACAAGGTAGGCTCAGAACTCCAGTGCAGACAGTAATCCAGTTCAGAGGTTTTATTGAGAATTGTAAACAGGCAGTCTAGGTCAAACATGAGCAGTAACAATGCAGTCCAGAGGGGTAAATCCATAATTGTAAACAGCACATGGTCCAATTGCCAAAATCCAGGAAGAAGGTACGCCAAAGCCAAAATGAAAGACAGATCAGTAATCCAAAAATCCAAGCAGAAAATCAAACACGGGTAATCAATCAGATACGAGGGACATGACAGAATCAAAAATTGAGAAGACAAATCAAACTGTAACCAAGGAATGCTCGTATTGTACACAGGAAAACTGGCTGACGAATGCACAATGAGCAGACTTTTACCATATGGAGTTGAGGTGACTAAATACAATGGGCTGCAGGTGAGCTGTGGTGGCAAGGTGCAGGGAGGCATGGCTACAAATGGAAAACAATCAAACAATGAACAAGGGGCAGTGCACATGAAGGAGTGAAAACAGAAAGCACATGGCAAGTAACAGGTGAGTGGAAATGTTAGACTAATGAAGATAACTAATAAAATAAACAACGGTTATGGAAAACAATAAAGACAGATAGAAAATACAAAATAAACATAAAATAAACAACTATATGGGTTCAGAAACTGACGCCAGGATGTGTCAAAAGTTAATACAGAAGATCCTGAGTAGTTTATCATTTTTGTCAGATGCAGGATGAGGGAATATAACATTTTTTAAGTTTGTTATTTAATTTGGGTGGCACGGTGGTGCAGTGGGTAGCACTGCTGCCTCTCAGTTTGATTGTTGGTTCAAATTCAGCCTGGGACCTTTCTGTGTGATTCTCCCTGCGTTCGCTTGGGTTTCCTCCCACAGTCGAAAGCCATGCATGGCTGGACAGCCAGCATGGAAAGCCAGGCTAATTGGAGACTGTAAAATTGCCTGAAAGTATGAGCGAGAGTGTGAATCGCGTGTGCGCCCTGCGATGGATTGGCAAGCTGTACAGGGTGTTCTCCTGCCCTTCACCCATAGTCAGCTGGGATAGGCTTCAGCTGTTCTGTAACCCTAGTGAGGAAGAAGAGGGATAGATAATGAATGGATGGAAAATTTGGAAATCCAGAACAGTGATCAACAACAAATGAAGACCAATCATCAGTTTAACCCTTTATCGGGAACCATATTTGGTAACTTCAGTCGGCATCCAGTGGCACCCCCATGCCTCCCCGTAGCCATTAGACCCGCGGCGATTTCTCCCAGCCAATCAGAGAAAATCAGGCATTATCGCAGGCAGTGAAATCAGTGTGTTCGACCAATCAGCAGTGGTCTAGAGTGTCTCAAACTTCTTTTCTTCTCCAGACCTCTCACAGTGCGGTTGTGTGCCCTTACCCAGTCCCACTCACAAGGACCTAACATCAGAACTCACAAAAGAAAACTGATGAAAACTCACGCATTAAAAAGTTGAAAAGATTTGCTAAAAGTTGAGATAGGTGTTGTTTGTGTACAATTTCTTGAAATTAGTGAAATTTTGTGTGAAAAACAAAAAATTTGGTGGTGAGGTAATATTTGATCATACACTCTTTTCACCTACAGTACAGGCCAAAAGTTTGGAAGCAAGATCAAATTTGTACAAAAAAAATCATAGTTTCATTGGCGTACTTTGCAAGAAAATAAACATGATTATTATGTAAAGAGTCACTTATCAGAATACATTTTCACTCAAATTATCAGGCCCATATTACTAGGCCCATGGTCCTAGTGCCCGCCGGATTGCCGTGGGCTGTAAACCATGACATAAAGTGAATAATGCAAACTGTGATTTGTCTTTTACTTTTGCACTGAAGTCGTGACTCTTGCAAATCTTCTCAACCCAAAAACTAAGCCCCTCCTTTCTTTTTAACATTTATTCAGCAATGGTCAGGTAACATCAATGGATACAGTACCTAAAGGTAAATAGAGGAAAATGGTGCATATCAATGAAAGAAAAGTCTAATCATGCAGTAAATACATCCCAAAATCCATAGATTTCATACTGGTTTTTAAGAAAGGCATTGTGAACAGAAACTTGAAGTTGCTTCCAAATTTTTGACCTGTATTGGCCTTGCTTCCAAACTTCTGGCCTGTAGTGTAAGTCTACAGCAAGTGATGGTAAGACTATTTATGGACATATGCCCAACGCATGGTTCTTTTTTACAGTCAGCTTCTTAGTGCCCTATAAAGGGTTAAACAGATATTTTACCTTTAGCAGCTGTGATTGGTTATAGCTGGTCTGTCAAGTTAATGAGGTGACTTGTATGTGGTGAGGTGAGACAAGGTTTGCTTATTGCATGCTGAAATTGTGCAGTCAAGGTGTTATGCCCTATTCTTTCTGTCATACTGTCCTTCCCACAACCAAACTGAGGAATTCTTCTCATCATGGAGGGGGTTAGAGTATAGTCATCACTCATATGAACATGCCACCCTCCTCCAGGTAATTGATGATGCATGCAATGACATCACAGTGGACCATTGTCAGACATTGTCAATGTCATGCCATGCCAGGGTCTTCCATCATGTATGGCGAATGAAACTATCCACTTAATAACACGTACCAATGAACAAGATAGTCTGGATAGAAATAGCCAAGTACTGTCATTTTTCACAGTAGTTCAGGGCATTAAAGTCATAGAAAATATTTCCCCAACTCTCTAATTATTATTTTGCTCAGATTCAAATTTATGTTGTGATTATGTATTTTCCAATTTTGTGCATTGGGTCTACCTTCCATAGTACAAAACAACTGAACAGTGAAGCCATGGATATACTGTGCGGGGTTATCAAAATTAATGTTCCTTTATGTGACAGTTGATGGGTCTTGTCACTAGAAATGCCTCCTAATAAGATGTTGGCTACCTTGTGGTATGTTGGCTACCTTGCCAACATACCACACTCTTTGGCGATGTGGTCAGCATGTATGACTCTTACCTGGGAGTCTAGGGTTCAATTGCCTGCCACACATAGTATTTTATAATGAAATTGTTAGTTGAACCAAATATTCTGAACTGTCAGAATTCTTCAGAGAAAAGTGCACAACACAGCATTTTGAACATGAGACCAATTATGTTGTACCTATGTCCATATTGTGTATCATGTCTACACAGAAAAAAATAAAAGCTAACTAAACTTAAAATTTCAGACTACTTGCTGCAAAAGCATTTTTGAGTTTGCTGAACTTCAAGTTCCAAGTTCTTTCAAAAATGAGTTTGTACAACTACTGGGACATGAAGTTGAACATACTCAAAAATGCTTTGCAGCTTGTAGCCTCACTTTTTTAAGTCCACTTTTTATTTTTTACAGAGTAATGTTCTGAAAATTGAGCATGAAGTTGTGAAATTAGTGCCTAAATGATTGAAAAAAAAAAAGCTATTACGGAGGTCAGTGGTCTGATTTTAATTAAGCTTGTACTCCTCCCCAATCTCTAAAGCACACACACTCACACATCGGCATGCGCGCAAGCACGTTTCACTGTATGTGTCAGCACATTGCTCACATCCTGTTTTTGAAGCATCAGTAAAGAAGTATCCTGCACTCACACAATTTCCTTGTTTTAATTTAGTCAGTATATTCACCCTGCTGTCCATAATCTACAGTGTGTCCCTTTGAACACAATGCACTCTCACTCCATCCGAAGCCTAGTGGGGTGCCTTGACAACAACCATAACAAATCTCATGTGCATCTACAGCCATCTAATTAGGATATGCTCCAAATGTATGGTATGCAATATTTGTATTTCCCCGATGACGATAGTCGGGAGATACTATGGTTTAGTTCTGGGGCCGCCGCCGCCGCTGAGATTTTATTTTCCGGGCTCTGGAAGCCACAATGATAACAGGAATGTTTTCAAATTTTACACAGGCGAAGATATATATATGACAATACTCAAGACCGATTTTCTTCAATTTCGGACGTCCAATATGGCTGCCAGCGGCCATTTTGTCCGAAATTTCTTCGGGCTCTGGAGGCCACAATTATTACAGGAATGTTTTCAAATTTTACACAGGCGAAGATATATATGACAATGCTCAAGACCGATTTTCTTCAATTTTGGACATCCAATATGGCTGCCAGTGACCATTTTGTCCTAAATTTTTTCCGGGCTCTGGAAGCCACAATTATTACAGGAATGTTTTAAAATTTTACACAGGCAAAGATATATATATATATGACAATGCTCAAGACCGATTTTTGTCAATTTCGGACGTCCAATATGGCTGCTGTCAGCCATTTTGTCCGAAATTTGGGGATCGGGGAGATACACAACTCGGTCACTGTGGCAACTGAGTTATCTAGTCTTTGAACGCAACAAGTTCTTTTTGACTTAAAATGATACAATTTGAGAGAATATGAATACTTGTTTCTCCATGGGGCTAGTTACTAGCTTTATGCTAATGGTTATGTTGCTGTTTGATAGTAAAACTTCAGTATTTATTCTCTGTAGGCTTTGTCTGTAATCTGACCAATAATAATAATAATAATAATAATAATAACTAGAGGCACTCGTAGAGTGCAAACCTCCGCCAAGGCAGCACAATCCAAATGTGCATGAGTGGGAGCAAAGTTGAGTTATCGCATGTGATATGATTTCAAGATGGCTGCTGTGGCGGCCATACTGTTTCAGTGATCGCGGTCAAAATCAATGGGATCCATCCTTGATGTAATAGCAATCCACCCATAAAATTTCAGACAAATCCGTACATTACTTTTTGAGTTATGTTGTTCACAAACAGACAAACAGACAAACAAACAGGGGCGAAAACATAACCTCTGCCCCTACTTCGTTGGTGGAGGTAATAATAATAATAATCATCATCATCATCATCATCATCATCATCATCATCATCAAAATAAAAGTGCATTTACACTGAAGGTAAGAACAGAGAGACATTCAGACAGATTAATGGGGAGAGGACAGTATCCCTGTTCCTCATTTAGTGAAGCTTAAACTATCAGTGTCTGGCTGGCATTTAGCCCTAAGAAACAGAGGGAAATGTTTGGTCTAGCAGTTCACGTTACCAGGCATTCGGCACAGCCAGTGCCGGCCACTGCTGAAACAAACAGCCCCATTCAGCTGAAAGACTAAGAAAAATGGCCGACCTTGTGTTCTCCAAAGCTTTTGACAGCACCCAGACTGGTTGCTTTAAAGAAAATGGGCACTGGCCAATTACTTCTCTTCCTCTATTTAAAAATGCACCCTTTCAAAAACAATGGAATGATACTTGGGATAATTTAGCACATTAATATTTTTAGTACAGTGATGTACTGCTATTTACAGTGTATGTGATGCTAAACACATCAGAGGACTGCAATGTATGGGGACTTCAATGATGAAACTAGTCCTTGCTTGTGTGTGTGTGTGTGTGTGTGTGTGTGTGTGTGCTCAAGCGCAGTTCGATTGTGTGAGCCAGTGCGACAGTAAAACTGGACTCAAGGGCCAATTTTACACTAATGCTGTATATACTCAGAAATGGAATTCGCCTTTTACTTTTGAGCAAATTTTAGATTTTGGAAGACTTAACATTAAATGGAAATATCATTTTTTAATTACAATGCTTTACATTGTGCCCAGTGACATCCCATAACATTGCCGATCTTCACCAACTAACATATTTGATTAATGCATTGTTTTATTATTACAAGTCTTGGTATTCAGCTATTACTTGGCTCTATCGGGAACTGTACTGTGTATTTTTATTTTTAAAAGGAAATGAGAAAATAAGTGCTGGTGTGGGCAAATTATGGAAAATGCGCTTAACAAGGAATTCCTCTCTGTCAAATCACACTGATGCTGGGAAAC